CTGCCACGAAATGGAAATTAGGAATGACGGCGCCTATATAAATAAGTGAGAAAGGGAGGGGAAGGTGTTTTCAAAGAGAAGCAGTTTACTTTCAGCTTCAAGCTTTGGACCTAAGTCTGGATTCTACTCTATGATTTTGGCTTTAGTGTTGTTCTGATGTTATAGTCTTCATCAATCCATATTTCGTTTGAAATACTTGGTTTTCTCTAAGTTAATTTATTAGTTCTATTAGTCTTTGAAAAATATTGTTCTAGTTCTTTTTTATCAAAAACCTTCTGATTTGTTGGTTATGATCTCCGTACAGTTTTCTGTGCAAGTTTTGATTCGTGACTTCTATGCCTTCTAGACGATCTACTTGAGATTTTCAGTTCAGAATCCGATTGGCTTAAACCTAATAAATTTTCCTCCGGACTCTTAGTAAAGAAAGACCGTAATAAAGCACTTCAAACCAACAGAAGAAATTCTGAATGAATAGGTCCCCCACTAAAGCTTGGAGCAATCAATTTTTTTGATTCTGATTTTAAAAAACTAGTTTCATATGAGAAATTTTCATAAAAGAAAGTCAGTTCAAAAGACTTTAAGATATAAGGATTTGAAGTTCAGGACACAATACGCGAATACTATATCCACATGCACCAGGTAGAAACTCAAAATCTCATTACTGTAAATAATAACAAATGGGTCACAGTAAACAAGGTAGTGATGGTTTGACAGGGCCTGAATAACAAATCTACTCTTGAATAAAATACTGTAAAAGATGAAAGTTCCACTACACCTGTCTAGTCATAAGATGCGTTGAAGGAACGATGCCACCCTGAAATTTTTTATATAGCATTTGCCAACCAAAAATTTTTTTTTGTTTTGAAAATGTTCCCTAAAATATAATTATTTGCTCTTACTGTAACTCTTAGAGAAAGAAAAATTTTTCGGTGACTAACAAAACCGTTTTGCTAAAAAATTTCTTAGATCCATTCATGGTAGATACAATTACCCCCCCCCCCCC